ACTCGCTGAACACGACATGATTGCATTGCTGTTGTAAAAATCTGATTTAATATTGTGACTTTTGAACAGATTCTGTTAGTTTTGTCTTCATTGTTCCCCCTCGCAGAGCCAAGAGAGAGAGAACTGGAAATACTCCCTGACAAAGTCAGTCCATCCGCAAGGAAACTATGCTTTGTAAATTTTATATTGCTTAAAATTATAGTTTCCTCAAATTATTTAGTAAAAATAAGCTATGTGCCGACTTCCACTTTAGTGTGCATGTAAGTGTAAAATAGATTGCTATTGAAAATTGGGTTGCCACATCAAAATCCAAGATGGCCACGTCACATATATATATGTAAAAAAAACCACCCCTATCATTAAGGAAAATATGCTTTCTAGTTTTTATATCGCCTAAATTTTCTGCTTTTGAACACAGACAAGAATGAGGTTGTAGTTTTTGGACCTGAGCGTTTTAGGAATAAATTTTTCAGTCTTTTTCCCTCCTTGGATGCCATTAATCTGTCCTCCAGCTACAATGTTAAAAACCTTGGTGTTATTTTTGATCAGGACGTGTCTTTTATCCCCCACATTTAAAACGCTACTAGAAGCGCCTTCTTCCACCTGCGTAATATCACTAAAATTAGAAACATCTAATCTAAAAATGATGCAGAAAAACTGGTTCATGCATTTGTCACATCTACACTGGACTATTGCAATGGTTTATTATCTGGGTGTCCAAATACGTCTTTAAAACGTCTTCAGTTGATCCAAAATGCTGCTGCCAGAGTCTTAACTGGAGTTAGTAGGAGAGATCATATCTGTCCAGTTTTAGCTTCTCTCCATTGGCTCCCTGTCAAATCTAGAATTGAATACAAAATTTTACTTCTAACCTACAAAGCTCTCAACAGCCTAGCTCCATCGTATATTACATATCGTATTGTTCCATATTTTCCTAACAGAGCACTTCGCTCTCAGACTGCAGGCTTACTCGCGGTCCCTAGAGTTTCCAAAAGCAGAATGGGAGGAAGATCTTTCAGTTATCAGGCTCCTCTCTTGTGGAACCAACTTCCAGTTTCTGTCCCATGAGGCTGACACATTGTCCAGTTTTAAGACTGGACTTAAGACTTTCCTTTTTGCTAAATCCTATAGTTAGGGTTGGCTTGTCATGTTATCTTAAGCTTAGACTACTGGAGGACAAATTGACCTCATCTCCTTAAATGATTTGCTAAAATTGAATAGTTTTCATTTGATACTATTTCTATCTTAACATGTGATTCTTGACCTGCCATTGTGTATCTGTTCCTACCAAACCCAGCCAGTCGAAGCAGATGGCCGCTTGTCCTGAGCCTTGTTTTGCTAAAGGTTTCTTCCTCTTGAAGGAGATTTTTGTTTCCACCGTCGCCTTCATGCTTGCTCAAGATGAAAGTTATGTGATGGAGTTAAACTCAAAGCAGTCTGCTCCTCAGATAAATAGTGTTAAATTATTATTTTTATATATGAATGTTTCTGTTCAGTGCCCTGAGATGACTTCTGTTGTGACTTGGTGCTATATAAATAAACTGAATTGAATTGAATTCAAAGTATAGTTTCCTCAGATGATTGGGGGGGCCTTTGGGGTGGCCGGAGATTAATCTATGGTGGCCAAGACCACCACTTTCCACCCCATGCCTTCGCCATTGCACCTGGTGTGGGATAAAATTGCGCCCTCCATTCACCAGGATGTTACTCTGCGCTGCCTCGAACAAGCAAAAAAAAAAAAAAACTCTCCTTTTACACACTGTAACTCCTACCCACTTGAATAACTTGCGAATAAATTGTTAGCATGCATTCCGTGTTCAATTTCAGTCCAGAAAAACTTAAAACCTACAAACATTCAATAATATAATCCCTCAGTGACAAGGGCCATCGGCGCAGCGCTTGTTCAAGATGATTCGGAAACCCAAAACTTCTCTGAATCTCTACGTTAGGCTGTACTTGATTTTCATTGGTAAAATGGCAATGCTTTTTTTTTTTTCTGTGTCTGTGTTGGTTTTTTTTTTAGCTTTAGCAAACTATCTCATGAACCACTGGACAGATTTTAATAAAACATTCAAAAATAAACTACTTGATATACTGCTATAGGTGATTAATTCAAGGAGCCAACCACAGCTAACTGACTGTATAAAGGTACACAATCAATTTTAAAGAAATTGTTCACAAATGTAGTGTTGTCATACAGTTATTCACATCACATAGTCTGACTGTGACACCTCATGATATCATATGAGAATGTGCATAAGCTGTTTTTTTTTAAGTTTGATAAAAATGGCTACAATAGGCACAATACAATGCTAGACCATTAATTCCTCTCAGTTTTGAAGAAAATAGCCAAATGAGACATCTATCTGTTTGTGTACATGTCTCTCTTCCTCTGTATGTCCATCTAATCTGTTTATCTAATCTGCCTTCCATGTACGATGCTTCTCGGAAGCTCTGGTGATGAGTTTTAGCAAATGACCCTATTGATTTCCATACAGTAAATCCTCCCCTCTCCCTTTCATTGGCAGAACAGCACGACTTCCCCCATCATGAGTCGAGAAGCTCAGGACTTTTATCTGTCAAACTGTTGAGCAGCTGAGCCAGTTTCCTCATCGCCATTCCTGTTGAAATATTAAGTACCACTTTAACGAACGTTTAATTTGAACTTCTTATTATTTTAATGTTTTATTCAAGCGTTATGGTGGGTCATAGTAACATGTTAATGTTTCTAGCCTAAAATTAAACATAAAAAAATACTTTTTGTTCTGCGTTTGCTCCTTTCACTTTGTTTGTCCTAGCACTCATCCCATCTACAAGACCACAGAGGAAGAGGATGCACGGTTATAAAATTTCCACTTTTTCTGGGTCATAAATATTGTAAAGTAGTACAGTGACCTTTGCTGTAATGAACCAGTACACCCACCCTTGCCAACGTGGCTCACAATGTGCCCATAAAGGCTCAACAATGAGGAGGAGAGGAACTAATTCCAGGATAAAAGAGAAGTGGGAATTTGGAGGAAGCGAGAGAAAGGAGGGCAGAGATGGAGGTGTTGAGTGGCGGGGAAGGGGGGGAGGGGGTGGCAGTGAAATGCCAGCATCAGCAGTAAAACCAGTCTGGGCCCTCTGCAGCGAGCGCATTTGCACGTGTGCACACTGGTGTGCTTTTGCCCAGTCGGCATTAACACCCTTCAAAGTCACTCCATCCTGAGGTGAGCACCCCATGGTGACCTCTGCCCAGAAAACGCACGGCCTTCAAGTCTGTCTCCTTCACTGCCCTTCGATCATCCTCCTCATTCAAACCTCGTCTTTTATTTGTCCATGTCATTTTAATAGTGTTAAATTAAACGCCTAGCATTTCTTGAAGGAATGCATATTGACTGCTGTGTTTCATACGTTTGACTGAAATCATTTTACGTCTTGTAGCCATTTGTTGTTTGATGTCAGAGTGCATGTTGCAAATGTTTCTCAGCTACCACCACATCAACTTTTAGCTCAATATTTTTAAAATTCACAGAGTTGTAGCCATTTTTGTCCCCCCATCACGGAGCGATAAAAAGGGAGTTGGAAATACTCTCCTCCGTTAATCTGTGTATGTTGTGAGCATGATAACTTGAAAATATGTGAGGTACTGACTACCAGTTTGGTGTGTGGCTACATCTAGACATAAGAAAGGTTCCTTTTGAAAATTGGGTTGCCACGTCAAAATCCAAGATGGCCACCACCACAAGTAAACCAGCCACCCTTATTATTTGAGGAAACTATGCTTTCTAGTCCAACAATGTTCAGTCAGATCATTTGGATGTTTTTTGTTTATTTGCTGAGACGTTTCATCCTTCATCCAAAGGACTTCTTCATTTTGAACCACTTTGGCATGACTGCCTTAGTGGAGTTGACGGAGGAGAGGATGGGCCCCGGAGGCCATCTTATCACCAGCAAACTGTTTTTTTTTTTCCACTGTGGGAGTGTGAGGTTTCTGGGACTCAGTTTGTGTGGTGGCTCCTCAGATTGAAGAAGTCCTTTGGATGAAGGAAAAAAAAAAAGAAACCATCCAAATGATCTGACTGAACATTGGATTTTTACCTGGATTATTGAGCATGAACTTTGTTATGCTTTCTAGTTGTTTTTTTTTTATATCGCTTAAAAGTATAGTTTTCTCAAATGATAGGGGTGGCCAGGCAGTGGCCAAAGATTAATCTATGGTTGGCCACCCCCTGACTCCACCATTACACCTGGCGATGGATAAAATTACTCCATTCACTCGCCATGATTCTTCACTCTTTTTTGCCTCTGAGAAGCAAAACAAATAAATAAATAAAACCTATCTTTACTATTATACAGAATGTAACTCCTACCCACTTGAATATCAGTCACCAAAACATTAAGGTTTACTTGCATTCTCTGTTCGTTTCCGGTCCAGAAAAACACTCGTGTCTAAAACCACATACAATCAGTATTCAAATCCTGTAGTGACTGGGGACACTGGTGTACCACTTGTGCTGGCTTCATCGAACATCAAGGTTCATGAGATATTTTGCAACAATAAAACAAAACCAACACACAGACATGAACAACATCGTTGTTGCTTTTTTGCATACAAATTTACAATATAAAAAATAATAATTTTGTGTTCATTCTTTCTGATCAGTCAAAACCATCCTGATATTTTAAAATCAGGATGTTATCGTATAACTTCATTTAGCATTCAGCAGATTCAAATGAAACTTTATTGCGATGTGTTTCTTCTCCCACAGTCTGCTTCAGGACAACTAATGTGTAGCATTTTACCCCAACTGACCCCATCCCTCTTAACAAAGACTTTGGAAGAGTGCACTCTACTTACAGAGCTCTTTTTTTAAATCACTGAGTTTCATAAGTTCAGCTGCTTTGTTCCCTTTAAATTTGAGCTAATTTTGGGAGTACTTTTGAACAAGGAAGATAGATTCATAAAAGGTTTTCCCACTCTTGTGAAGGTATAATGAGTGTTTGCACCTCTTTGACGCACATCAAAACTTTGGTGCTTCTTTTCGCTTGTAATGACCCAGAATAATCCTTTTAATATTGAATAAATCACTACTGTACACAAAGAATCAATTGCTTCCACTTGGCTGTACCAAAATGTCCCACCTCCTGCTCCGAGGCTAATGAACGTTGGATAGTCTGCTTGATACGAGGTCACGGGACGAGCACTGGGTCAGCAGTGGGTCAACCATCCAACTTTAACTGAGTGAGCCGAGGGAAACCCACGGAGGAGGGGATGGAACGGCTTGTGTTTGGCATTGTCTGGCACTGAGACACCACAACAAAGTTTGTACAGAAAAGGCCATGCCCTGTCCCCGACACGACTCCCAGAGTATGCTGTTCGCTTACCTCTTGTGCCTTCTGTGTGCACCCAGTGCCCAGCACAGCAAATCCAGGTCATCTGTTTGCAGGCTTAGACCAAGATATCTGGAACTAATCATATTAGTATACGCGTAATTAATACACCCTTTAGTATACAAGCGTGATTTTGGGGTGGTGTGAAAGAAAATGGCGGTGTTCATTAGCAGAGTACGAAGGTGGCATCATTAAGCGCAGGGTCAAGAAAGCTGCCAGTTGCCTATTGTGTGGTGCTTCCCACTGTCACATGAAGATGGTTCTGCTTCTGAATCTGTTGGCCAGCTCAGACATGGTGGCCTATAGGGACAAGCTCATTAGCACCACTAGATGCTAACAAACAAGCTCCCGCTTGTTTGACCCTAAAATTTCACGACATATCTGAGCAGAAGAGAGGGTTTAGCATCTGAAGTGTTGATGTGGTTCACAGCTTTACAAGTGACTCACATGTTGAGCAGGGCGTAACAAAAGAAGACACATGAACAGCATTACCTCTAAACACACTTTTCTTCCTATCCAAAGTCTAAGCATCTTCTGGGTTTAGACGTATTTTCTTCAGAAACTTCTCCATTTGGTTTATTCTGTTCTTGTTTGTACCTCATCAGCATCTGAACCCAACCTGAAGCTGCGTTCCCGGTTAAAGCAGAAGGTGACGGAGCGCCGGAGCAGCCCACTCCTCCGCAGGAAGGATGGACCCATCACTACTGCCAAGAAGCGATCTCTAGATGTGGCTGGTGAGAACAATTTGTCAAGCAATCAAGTTCAGGGGTGAAAACTAAAGGCCACACTTAAGTAGCTAGAAAATTCATTCTTCCAGATCCCTATAAATAAAAATATTGTTGAAGATTTGATTTTATATATAGATATAGACATGGAGCAAAATATACAAATCTTCTGTTTTTTTCTTATTTATCTTTTCAAAGCATGTTATGGTTGAAATGCTAAAGCTTTTGGCTTTGGGGTCCCGATAGTAGTTTTTAAACAGATCAAGTACAAGTTCTTCAGTTTTGGTACTTGCAGATATTGAGTACCAATGTAGAGTATAGGTGCTATGTGTTGTCATCATTTAATCATCATCATTTAGTTCCTCATTTAATCCATCACACCTGAGATACACCCAGGTGAAGCAGTGGGCAGCTATGCAAGCGCCCAGGGAGCAATTATGGTTTGGGCATCTTGCTCAGGGACACCACGACATGTGGGCATGGCGGGGAGTCGAACCGCGACTTTCTGGTCCCAAGTCAGCTGTCCTAACTTTACACCATCTCAGCCCCCAGTTAGTAGTTAGAGAGTAAAGTAGTTAATGAGTTAATATTTAAACATTCATTAACTTTAGAAACACTTATTTTAATAAGAACACAGCAAACAATTTCACTGGGGTTTATCTTAAAATATCTCTAAACAAGACATGTTTTAGTTTTTGTCCTCAGTTACTTGCAAAGTGGAAGAGGAAATGACATCACCAAGCATAAAAGTGGTGTTGGTTTGAAGTATTGGGGTGTTTTATGAGTACAAGTATGAGTACTTGAAGCTGGACCACTATTTTATTAACTTCTTTCACTCATTTCCTATTTGACATGAGCAAATTTACTTTATGGTTCATTTCTGTAACAGTAATTTGATTAGGCATTTGTTACATAGGTTTTCCAAAACAACTTTCTTTGTAAATTCAAAAATATCATGGGGAACATGACAGTGGTTCTAGAAAACGTATGGAAAATATCAGTATTTGAACAAACAGCAGAACAGTAAGGATTGCATGAATCAACAAGTCAATGCTTGAGAAAAGGCAAAGTCCTGTTTGTTTACATGGGGCAGGACTTTAAACTCGTATTGGACCATCCTTTGGAGACCTCAACGTACCGAATCCCTTATTGGCCCCAGTTTATAAAGTATAATCTTTTGTTGACACAAATGCAAGAATGGTGATTTAAGATCTTTTAACTCTGGATCCCACTTTCAAAAAATACTATGTTGCTTCTAAAACAGCATTTCTATGTGGATGGCAGGCTGAAAGAATAAAAAACATTTTTGCATATTGAAAAACTATTATCTGAGGAGCTTGTATGGATCACCTGGAGATGTTGTGAAATTCCATCCATCCATCCTTTATCTTTTACCCGCTTCTTCCTTTTCGGGTCACGGGGGTCACTGGAGCTCATATCCAGCAGTCATGTTGTGAAATTAACATGAAAATCAATCATTTTTCTAGACATTTCATAAACTAAAGGCGAAGGATTTAGGATCAACATCTAAGACCATCACAGATCCTATCATACACGTATCTTCCCCCTCTTAGATGATTCACCCATTCCTTATTCTGTGTGGCTGATGTCACCATGGTTATTAAAACTATTTTCATTTTATTTGTTGTAAGATGATAAGAGTATATGACTAAGACGATGATCACATTAAAATAACGGGAGAAGAAGAAAATCTGAGTCCGCCAAAGCAATCCACGGTGAACCTCAGTGATTTGATTTTCTGTAACATCTTAATATCTGATAACACATTTTAAATGGTGTCATGCTGGATGGATTCTTTAATTAGATTTTGCATAAGCCAGAGGCACGTTTTAGTGCAAGAAGCCTATAAGTCAGCAGTTAGTTAGATACTTATTATCTGTGTAGAAGTTTTTTCTAATTACATTTTTGCGCTGTGTATTTTACAGATTCTGCATGCAACAGCGCACCGGGCTCAGGTCCCAGCTCACCCAACAACAGCTCTAGTAACATCCCCAGTGAGAACGGGGTGCCGATCTCCAGCAGCCCAGGAGAGGTAAACAGCATGGCTGCACATGAGCGCACATGTCCGACTGCATGTTCACATTTATCTGTTCACTATAGATGCACACAGAACAGAGCGCTGTTTAACCCTTCATGGCCTAAAGCTTTTAAAAACATTCCCAAACCTTAAGCTTTCCAGGAAAATTTAAAACAAGGTATATTAGATGTACAGTAGTCCCTCGTTTATTGCAGGGGATCTGTAACATGAAGACCCACGATAAGTGAAAAACCGCAAAGTAGGAATAGTAGTACAAAGTACAAGTAGTAATTTATTTTTATATATATATATAAAGGTGTTTGAAACTCTTCCCACACTCTTGCAATAATCTAAACAATGTTTCTAAACTCTAAATGCTCTAAAGGAGCACAGAGTGTCATGATTTCTGCTCCCTTCCTCCTCTGCTCTTTGCCACCTGCAAGCACTCTCGGCCACGCCCACTTCTCCCCTTTGCACGCTGCAGCAGGAAGTTTATCCTGCAGCAGTAAGGGCTGCACAATGCTGAAGGAGGAAGCTTTTTTTTTTTTTTTGCAGCTCTGGGCTGCACACAGGTACATCAGGTGCAAAATAATTTAAAAAGAATTTATTTTAAATAAAAATTCCATGCCGATTGTGTGGCTCATCCATCAATCAGCCAATTGTGTGTCATGTCCAATCTTATTTTGAAAACCTGCGATAGAGCGAGTCAGTGATAAATGAACCATGAAGTAGTGAGGGACTACTGTATTCTTCACTACATGGAATGGTCTTTTGTAAATACTACAAATGTGTCTCTTGACCTACTGTAAAAAAAAATGTTTTTTTTAATTTTTATATTCTTTGGTCATTCATTTATAGGTTTCAATGTGCACACAACTGCTCTTACTACTTCTGGAAAGCTACAACTCCTGTGGTTTGATTATTGTAAAATATTTGTATTATTTGCTCATCACATTGGATATTTTAGATGTAACTCATGAAACCTGTAAAATAACTAGTTTCATGAATACGTTCCTACAAATCGCCAGAGGCTATTTAACCTTTTTTTTCCTCCTATGCTTCCAGTTTGCAAGTAAGCACTTCTCATGCAGAGATTTAAAAATACAGCAAGCATCCGTAGTGTCAAAGCTATCGTGACCCATCTGTAGTCTACAATAGCCAACAAGAGTTCATGTTCTGAGGAAGTATTTTCTCTTTTTCTGCTGTGCTCATGCCAAGAAAGCTAGAAATTTGCTGCTCTGTTTCATTGAAGAGAATGAAAATTCAAACCCGTTTTTCATTTGTCTTTTGGACATGTGCTGTATGTGCACACATTATTTGAGGACTTACTGTGTTGTCATTGTGACTGTGTGTCTCCAGGTCTCTCTGCTTCAGAGACTGGCAGCAAGGGATGGTTCAGTTAACCATCTCTCTCTTTACACCTCACCTTCTCTGCCCAACATCACCTTAGGACTGCCAGCCTCCGGTGCCGGCACTGTGAGTACACCAACCACATAAACTCATACAAATAAAGTTACTGCTAAAAAAGACAAAAGCACACAATTTAGTTTTCCTATGAGAATAAGGGTGGGAGAAGAAAAGTGACTGGGATGTATTTTCAGCAAAGCTGGTGCACACTACATCAGACTTTTGGCGTTAGCTTGATATCTCCTTCCATATTTCTCCATCTCGCAGCCCACGTGCCACCTTTGACCGTTCTCCCACTCTGACTGTCTGCCTCCCTTGTTTATCTCCTTCCTTTTGTCCCAATCCTTGGGTTTGTAGGTGGTATCAGGACACCAAGATGGCGAGAGTCATCTGGCACTGCCTGCACTACAGCAGGGCATTCCACTGACCCCTGCTTTTCTTCCCACTGCCCACCTGCCTTCCTACTTGGCTTCTTCGGCACTGGACAGGGAGGGACCTGGAGGGGGCACAGCTGGTCACAACCCCCTCCTTCAGCACATGGTACTACTGGAGCAGAGCCACAGTCCAATGGGTCAGTAATCACTGCAGCATTTACTAAACCTTCTTTTACTTTTCAGCTTGCGTTTGAAAAATTGACAGAAAATCAACGAAAAAGTTACAATTTCAAATAATTTTTCATGTTTATTATAATTTGGGCTCTTACTGCCATGGTGCTGTGTCTTCAGCATTTATTTTAACGAAGCGCATGCTGTAAGACTGAGCGATAAAGTCTTAACTAATAGATTGTTGTTGACAAAACAACTATATATTTTGATAATCTAAATAATTCAATTTAACTATAATACATAAAATACACGAGTGTGAATAATCAAATGCGCATTTCTGTTGGATTTTCTTTTTTAAAATGGGTGCAAAAGGACACTGTTGACTTTTTTACTTTCAGACCGTCTGCATTCAGAAGCCTTTAAACATTTAAAAAAAGCTACTTTGAAGAATGTGTTCTACATAAAGAAAAACAGAAAAATGCACTTAAAAAAATCAAGAAAGTCTTTGTTTCCCTGCTAGAATGTGTTTGTAATAATAATAATAATTTTTAAAAAACTATTAAAAATTGTAAAATGAAAACAATACTGGACAACATGGTGGCTCAGTTGGTAGAGCTGCTGCCTCTCATTGAGAAAGTCGCCAGATCAAATCCCGGCCCGGGAACCTTCTGGGTGGAGTTTGCATGTTCTCTCTGTGCATGTGTGGGTTTTCTCCTGGTACTCCAGTTTCCTCCCACAGACCCAAAACATGCATGTTAGGCTGATTGGTAACTCTAAATTGTCCCTAGGTGTGAGTGAAGGGTTGTTTGTCTCGTTTGTCTCTGTGATGGACTGAAACCTGTCCAGGGTGTCCCCCACCTCTCGCACAGTGATAGTTGGATATGGGCACCAGTGACCCCAGTGACCTGAAAAGGAAGAAGCGGGTAAAGATGATGGATGGAAGTCGGCAGTCATTTTCTTTCCAGCTGGCTCGTTTGATGTTTTCAGGACACGTCATCATCCAGAATTCACCGTCTCTGAACATTTTGATAACTCTTTCTCTCTCTTTATATAATGTATTCCCCCCCCCCCCCACACACTCTCTTTCCTCAGTTTGAACACCGAAATGTTTTGCACACAGGGTTTGGGAGGAGCTGCCTGAAAAACGACACCTTCAGCTAATTAGATGCAGACAGCTGAAACAACAGTTACTATTTGTAGATGGTTTTCACGATATAATCATTTAATACATTTTACGCTTTAAGTTGTTTTATTTTCCAAGAAATTTTGCATCCGTACATGCAAAGATAGCCTAATATATATATATATATATAATAAAAATTACAGGTAAAGCCTGACTTATGCAGTTTTAATCATCCAGTACCAACATTTTATGTGTATGCTGTTTTTCTGAGAACAGCTGGTATTGATTGATTTGTTTATTTTATATTTGCCATAGTGGGTCTGGGTGGATTACCACTACCATCACCCACTGTCTCCAAGCTCGTGCGGGGCCACCGTCCCCTGGGCAGAACCCAGTCGGCCCCCCTGCCTCAGCAGCCGTGTGGACAGGCCCAGGCCCTGCAGCAGCTCGTGGTCCAGCAGCAGCACCAGCAGTTCCTGGAGAAGCACAAACAACTGTTCCAACAGCAGCACATCATCAACAAGGTATCCCTCCATCGCTCGACCACCTGTGGCAGAACAATCCGTTGTGTGCGTTTGTACAGATGTGCGTGTTCGAGTTCAGCGAGCATGCGAGACCGATTTGGTCAATGCGTTTGGATCTCGTCAGCGCTCCAAAAGCAGGATGAATCAGCCTTCAATCAGAGAGTCTTTTAGCCAGTTTTTTTTTGTCTGCGTTCATGCGTCCCTGCTTGTCCTCGTTGCCCTGGCAACCAGGCAGGGAAGGAAGCTGCTGCCATATAAGCTCACGCAGGAAAAATGATTCACCGAATCACCGTTGAAGTGAGTGTGCGCACGGCGATGGGGGGGGGGAGCTGCTTTTACGTGGTCATTACAGAGAAGACGGTGTGTGTTGGGGTGCGTGTGCATGCGCAAAGTTCCTGAAGGAATTGATTATGTCACCTTGTGTTTGGTTGTGCGTTACTCCCTCTGCTTCTGGACTGAAGGTTGTCGCAATTCCAGCTCGTGCAAAATCAAGTTGTTTACATGTAACCATGCAACAAATAATGAAAATAAAACGACCTAGCCATCCATGAAGAAATGCATGCCTTTCGTGCCAGAGCTTTAAGCTACAATCATCTTCTGCTGAGAAATGACTGTTATATCCACTGTGGTCAAACCTTAAAAACAACATTATAAACAGTCTGTTAGCACTTGAAGCAAGTGTTGTGATTGACTGTCAGCTACTCCCACATCAGGTTTTATCTCTAAATCTGTCAAATTCACTGAGGTATAGCCATTTTTGTATAGAATAAGGTCGATAGCTGTGGTGGCCATCTTGAATTGGGTTGACTCCAGAGGGGAATCAGTTGTAGGTGAACTTTCTGAAAGTTTCATTTAAGTCCGTCCAATGGTCCAAGAGATATTTTACTGACAGACGAACAAGGTTGACTTCAACAGTTATTGTTAAGAATTTTATGAAAGATGTTGTGCACAAACTTTGTGTTGGAGATCACTCTCAGCTACTACCACACCAGATTTTAGCTCAGTATCTGTAAAATTGATTGAGTTAAAGCTGGTTACTTTGCTGTGGCAGCCATCTTGAGCCAAGTTGACTCCAAAGTTTTATCAGTTGTAGATGTTCATCCATTCATTGGTTTCTGGTAGTTCAATCTGCTCAGTGATTCATGAGATATTTTGCTAACACACGCATGCACCGACAAAACATTACTGCTCCACCTTCACCTTCTGCAGCGAACTATACTAAACCCGTCTAACTGGCATGAAATAATAAAGTTTATTGTTATAATTCTTGTAAAATCATAAAGCACTATGAAAATCTCATAATTTCCCTTTAAAAATAACATTGTTGTTTATGAAGGAATAGTTGCAAAATCAACAAAAGGAGCCTCTAATTATAGCTGCTTTGACCACAAATTTAAATTTTATCGTCCATGTGTGAAACAGAACCTCTTTCTTTTTTTCCGTTTTGATTGTCAGCCGCTTGATGTATTTTATTTCTGTTAATTAGACAATAAAGACAGGCATTTTGTGGGAGGCCAACCATAAAACATCAGTGCATACATACAGCCCAGTGTTGCCAATGCAATGTTTGCTATTATTCTGCTTTGAGTTTGAGGATCTCTTTGTGTTGGATGTTAAAATGATATATGCTGTGCTTATAGATGATTACAGTTGTGACACATCAATTGTTTATTCTGTTTATAATTGGAAAACAATTAGTTTGAGTGTGTGAATAAGTGCTTTTGAGCCTGGGGAATATGCCCCCCCACCCCCAAAATAAATAAATAAATAAATAATTTGGATACAAGAATAGACAAGAGTACAGACCTATCCATCAAAGTTACGTCAGGTCATCTGGATGGTTTCTTTTTATTGTTGAGACATTTCGTCCTTCATCCAAAGGACTTCATCAGTCTGAGGAACCACAAAAAACTACCCCATATTTAAAAGTATAAAAATCATATTAACAATATTAAAGAACAGGTCTTAAATATTTATGTTACACAAATATTTCCATTGCATTAAAGAGACAAATTGAAGAAAATTATTTAATAAACATGAGGGTTATGAGCGCATCCCTGAAACTTTTTCTTCCCTGTAAGGGGTCCTTGAACCCAAAAAGTTTGAGAAACCCTGGTATAGACAATTCATATGTAAAGTATAGTTTAAATATTTGTGTTTTCTGTCAGAAAACAATTTTAGCTCGAGGAATGCTGCTGAATTATTAATTTTTTAATTACAGTATCCTAAATCTGCTTGCTTTTCCCATTTTTTGTTAACACTTTATCGCTTTTCAGATCAAATAGTCAGCTGGTTTTATCTCAGCAAAATGTTCACGGGTTGGTCGGTGTTGTTAGAAGCCGGAGCGGGTGCAGGTTTGGGTTTGAGGACATGGCGGTAAATCTCATTTCGAAGGTTTTTCCTTCTGGGGATTTGGGTTGAACTGGAGGGTAAGTTGCTCAAGTTGCAAATCTGTTCTATTAAAAGCTTTTACAGATGTTTTCATCAATATGTTGCATTAAAAATATTTTCTGTAATATTCTGCACGTTCAAGACCAGTATTTAGTACCAGAACTTATCCAGTGATTCTTGCTGTTGTCGTCATATTAATAGTGGCTGTTAGCGTGAGTTGCTCAGGTGTTGCAAGCTATTTTTATATATCTCATTAGTATGTTTCTGTTTTCCTTCGCAGCTCCGCTCCCTTGAATATTTTTCACATTGTTGAGCATGACTCAGCTAGTGCCTGTTTTTTACTTCCTTTTTTGGATTTTAGTCAAGTCAGCAATAAAAAGGGCCCCTTCCTGCAAAGATAACATTTGACTAAAGCTGTCTGCAACTTTGTAACATTTGACTAAAGCTGTCTGACAACTTTGTAACAAAAACAGTCCTTGAACAGTTCCAAGTCTGATTTTATTTATACTCATAACAAGAGTACTGTGATATACTCGCATGATCCTGTTATACAAGTGCATGTGTGAGAAATACATCGTCAACAAGTGTCAAGTGTTGGTCTCTAGAATCTCCTTCTCTTCCCATTGCATGCTCTCCCCATCTTTCTTGTGGATTTAATGAGCTTATTTAGTGCCTGTCCCCCTTATGGTTCATATCCCAGCAACTATTTTGTCTGAAAAAGCAGGCAGAAGGCGAGAAGGAAAACAAAACATGAAAGAAAAGGAGAGTGAGAATCAGTGCAGCAGGACTAGCTGAGTGTTTTGAGTTTGTTTGGAGAACAGGGACTGGGATGAGGCAAGAGCCTGCTCTCTGACGTCAATGGACCGTTCCCTGGGCAGTATGCCAGCCAAGTGTGTGTGTGAGTGTGTGTGTGTGTGCGCTTCTGTGAATGTGTGTGTATTTCTGTGAATGTCTCTGTGTGTCTCATGCACAAACAGTGGTCCAATCATGACCTGCACATCAAGGTTGAGGTCTTTGACGACAGCGACGGGGACAGCTGCCACAACAAGATTACACCAGTAACCCCCTCCACAGTTCCTGCATTACCCCACTCCCCACCACCTCCCTCTATGCCCTTAGCTCAGTATTTCAGAGTTCAGACAGCGTGACCTTAATGATTTCAATTAAAAACAGTTATAGATTCTGTCTGATGTTTCAGAACAAGGTCATGAATTTCACTAGATAAGCACTTTATTTTAAATACATGTCTTGAGTGCATAAGAAGGGACCTCTTGCATCTGGTGGCTGTTTGAAGCTTCTGTTGTGCACATCTTCAGATGGTAACTTTTCTTGTACATTGTTTTCTTGGCATCCCTCTCCCCCAGCTCCTCCTGGGAGATGCCAAGGTGATCTCAGTCCATAGAGAATACCATATTCCTCCAGTGAGTTCTGGGTTTGCTGCTGGGTCCTCTCACAGTAGGACATGCCTGGGAAACCTCCAAAGGAGGCCAACAAAAGGCATCCTAATCAGAAGCCTGAAGCCACCTCAGCTGACTCCTTTTGATGCAGAGGAGAAGTGGCTCTATGCTAAGCTCCCCCAGGATGATGGTGCACCTCAATTTATCTTTAAGGCTGAGCTTGGTCACACTATGGAGGATGGTGTCGTTACGGTCATGACCCACACCTCAGGATTGTACGTGAGGGTTGTAGACGGACCAGTTAATCAAAAGCTTTGCCTTTCAGCTCAGCTCCTTCATCCAACAGACCAGAGCATCCCCAACTTTACTGTGAACAAGTCCCCATCCCATTGATCTATCTCCTCCTCCACCCTACCAACAAGACAACAAGAACAAGACTCCCAGATTTTTTTATTCCACTGCTTGAGGCAAGTGGCTCTTTCTCAAGACACCTCAGTCTAGGACTGAGTGGTGTTCAATTCACACCAGTGTGACTTCTGAATGAACCAAGACAGCGAGGGGGGTCTAAGACAGCCCACTTCTGGTGTGTCTTTGTGCCGCTGAGCAAGATTGTATCAGAGGTGGAACTGCTGAAATGTGGAAACAAAAGCAGCCCAGTAATGTAATGGGCTGATGACATATCGTGCAAACCCAAGAGACGTGGAGTTCAGCTTTTTCGTTCCACACTGCCCTCTTCGCTTCTGAAAGCTCACATCTGAGTAGGCTGGGCGATATGGACCAAAATTAATATCACGATATTTTAATATGAATGGCGATATCCGATATTTATCTCAATATTTTTTTCTTTCCATAAAGTAACAAAAATATATTTCTGAGTCAAAGCTTTGTCCCAATTGTCACACAGGCACATTTATTAACAAACAGCTGTAACTGTACAAAATGAATGCCTAAAAAATAAACTATTTACATGTATTAAATAATAATCCTCTTCAGCTGCGCCGCCTTCACAATGTTAGTAAGCATGTGTGAACTACAGCTGCAGCTCCCAACTGCTGACTTCAGCCTCCTTCCCTGAAACAAACCATGGTACAAAACTTATTTAGCTGTGCTATGTCTTATGAGAGGAACAGTGAGAGGTAGCGCAATATTAATAAAGCAGCGGCTTATCATATCGCTAAAGACACGGTCCCAGTCTCAACTGTGGAACAAGACAGCTAAAGACAACAGGTCTTTAGCCTAATTATAACTCAATGTAGAAATATTGATATAGACAATATAGTCCCATCTTATATCGCATATGAAATTATCTTGATATTTTTAAAATATCGAGATATCGCCCAGCCCTACATCTTTGGCTGGCTTCATCTGTAATTTATGAATGGCCCGAGGGAGCACAAAGGCGACTGGTCTGTGTGGTCATTTCGCAGAACTGTTTTATGACGGAGAGTAAAGACTCATTCCCTACCTGGAGGGAGCATTCCAGTCTTAGGTCTAAACTCAAAAACTGTGGTTTCACTGGGAAACCAGTGCTCTCCATTGCTTTTATCCCATTTTTGCTGCATGATAGTATTTTTAGTGACACCTGTTGTTTAAAAGGAAAACTGCGGTGAATACGGAACATCTTAAGCCCCAACACACAGAGAAACTCTGCTCTCTAGATGTTGCCCAACTTGTAGCTCATGCAAATTCTGACAAGTAGTATATATTCACCTTTATGCGATCAGTGGAGCTGGTTGCCTTCAAGAGTGGGAGGTTCAAAAGAAGGTATATTTCTGGCCCTAGAGTCCAGAGTACAGACCGAGTTTATCTGTGTGTACAAAACGTCAGAGGAGCTGGTTAATGTTAGCTTTTTGTTTGATTAAACTTGAGGTCTTTTACATTGCTTTGGTACTTAGTCTGATTACTCATCTATTTTGGGGTTGAAATCATCCACTGGTAAACACACAAAGTTGTTCCTCATTCATCTCATTTTCAGTTGTTTCATCAATTAGACATATTGTTTTATTTCACCGATGGATCTAAAGACGAATCCTCTGTGACTCACAGGATTTTTGTTATTTTTGTCACACTCATTATCCTTTAGCAGCATGATCGTTTATAGTGAAGGTGTTTAAATCAGACCTCAAATAATAATGATCCTCTGTCAAGTGTTAAACCTGAACCTTTTTTTTTGTTCCTCCTCCAGATCATGTCCAAACCCGGCGATCAGGTGTCTCCTGCAGGTTCCAGCTCTTCAGTGTCGAGTCGACAGCATCAGAGTCACCCGGAGGAGACAGAGGAGGAGCTCAGGGAGCACCAGGGTCTCTCCTCATCCTCGTCGTCATCCTCCTCTTCATCAATGCCAGAGACAGGGTTAATACGAGGACTAGTCATCAAGCAGGAACCTCCGGACCTCCAGGAGCAGGAAGAATGGGACCAGAGGGAGAGACAAGCAGAACAAGACTTTGTGTTTAAACAGGTAGGATATGATGGGACAGGTGCTGGGGGTGGGGGTGGTGTGTGTGTGTGTGTGTGTGTGTGCGTGTGTGTGTGTGTGTGTGGGGGGGGGGGGTTACAGTAGTCCCTCACTTATTGCGGGCGTTACATTCCAGACACCCCCACGATAGGTGAAAATCCACGAAGTAGGGATGTTATATTTATTTTAGTATTCATTTATATTTTAAGGCTTTATAAACCCTTCCCACACTCTTGCAATGTTCTTAACTCTCTAAATGCTTTAAAAGAGCACAGTGAAAGAGAGCAGACAGACAGATGCTACGGTTACTGAGCCAATCAGCGCCCGGGAGCCGGCTGACCATCGGGAGCACCAGGACAGTTCTTGGTGACCTGGCCCGCTCAGTGATTACCAAGGGGTACTAAAGGCTCAGTTCGGGTCACGCTTGATAATTAAAAAAAAAAACAATCCATACCGCTCATTCTGGTATCTGCCTCACTGAAGCTTACACAGCAGCAATGGGGAAAGACTGCCCCCACCCGCCCCCTCCTTTCTACTTATGAGACTGTCTGTCACAGCAAAGCAGAGACACACAACAGGTTGTGCGCCCGCCTGTTATGTGTGTCTGCTCTGCTGTGACAGACAGTCTCCAAAAAAAATGGAGGTGGCCCCTCTGCAATCACTGAGCGGGCCAGGCCACCGAGAAATGTCCTGGTGCTCCCGCTGGCCAGTCCGCCCATCAGCACAATGCTCTGGTTGGTCGCCTTCCATAAATCAGCCATTCATATGTCGTGTACAATCTTATGCTAAAACCCCACAAAAGAGTGAGGTCACAAAAGTCGAACCGCAAAGTGTCGAGGGACTGCTGTGTATATAGTCGACTAGTCGGTTCTAGGGCATCTCACAAGTTTTTTAATTTCACGTCAACTAGTCGCAGTCACGCGATTGTGTCACATGTCATGTGATCAGCAGAGGAGGAGGATATGCCAATAATAAGAGCGAGCCGGTGACTAGGAAAAAAGTCAGACTCAAGGAGGATTTTGTGCAACTTTTTGGGCCATATTTCCAGAGTGACAGGAGAGCAGCACACTGCTCCACTGCTGCCGAAGAGGTCCGTGATTTTTTTCATTACCACAGATTCCCATCATGGCGAACCCGCTGCAGTGGTGGGCCAGCAATAAGGATAGATTTCCCCGTTTGGCAAAACTCAGCAGAAGGTATTTAGTGTTTTCTTAAATATAAACCAGGATCAAAAACCAAAAACTGTAAACGAGGAGACTATTGACAGCGAGTGATCTTTATTTAATCCACTGTTGGAGATATATATATATATATATATATATATATATATATATATATATATATACTGTATATAAAGAGCAAAAGGAAAAAGAATACTGTATGGGATCTTTGCAGTCGCTTTGTGAGCGGCCAGTTTTTGAAAATCAAGGCCTATTTCTGCATGCACAGCTTTCAAAACCACATTCTGACACATGGACGTTGTCATGTTGCCTACCTTCACCCACACTGTAACTACCTTGGCCTGCTTTGTACCCACCTGTGGCAGCCACCTCTGTGTTTAGAATAAAATCTTTTGGAAGTCACAAATGAAAATGGCAGTTATCTAAAAATGTATCATCAGTGTGTATTTTAGACGTACCGACTTTAGAAAACATAACCAATTCAAGGCAATTAGGTGTGAAAATTAAAAGATGGAACAATGATCGTGAGTTTGAGAAAACTTGAAGTGTCAGTTTGGTGGCTTGTTTTCCAAAAGAAGAGCCACACACAGATTTACAAACACACGACTCTGGTTACAGTAGCCGTGACAGATGGAGCTGAAATATTACACCCTTCTTTCCATCTGCCTGTCTTCTCAACTGACTTTTCAATCTCACTTATTTTGGTGCATTAATAAAAAAAAAAATCTGCATGCTTGAAAATGGACAAAGGAAACGCATACTGTTTTAAAAGCATTTTAAAACTCCCACTCCAAAGTTGTCCAGAGCTGCACTATATATACTGTGCAAACAAAAATGTCTGTTACGTAATCTCAGTTTTTAATTTAGCGTTACTTGTGTGATGCACGCCACGTACATTCTTTGTCTCTATATTACTCTACGCTGAGACAATCAGGACACCATGTCCTCATCTGTCCAGCCCATCCCTGCTGTCTGCTCAGCCAAATTCAATCAGGCACTCCTCTCGCTGTCACCATGGCGCCCGTGCAGCAGTGCAGGCCGACACACCCATCAGAACAGTGCAGCACTTAGGCATGGTGAGAGTGAAAAAGAGCACTAAAAGGTTCAAAAGAGGCGCTCAGAGTCATTTTTTAATGTGCTTTTATCAAACACTGTCAAACAATTTCAGGAGTAATAGTAAAACTTTCTTCAGTAACAATTTGATTATGCTTTTTGTAAACACGCAAAGTGTCAGTAAAATAAGAATCAAGTGGTTCTGGATAAATGGGCATTATGGCTTTTTGCCTAAAGATGGATGTAAAGCCAACATCTCTTTACATTTGTAAGGCTGCTTCAACTGCATGTCTTTGTTGAAGTAAAGTGCAGTGTTTGGCGCCCTCTAGGGGCAGAACAGCTGTAATGCAGTCTAGTCATCGTGCAGAATGTCTGACTGGGTTTGTTTGTGTGTGAGAGCAGCAGGCCTTGCTCTTGGAGCAGCAGCGGATCCACCAGTTGAGGAACTACCAAGCCTCCATGGAAGCAGCTGGGTTACCGGTCAGTATGGCTGTGCACCGTCCTCTAACCAGGGCTCGATCCTCTCCTGACACTTCCTCCTTCCCCATTTTGGTCCAGGAGTCACCAGTTAAGCACCGATTTACTACAGGTTGGTAGGAAACTCTGAATCCCACATATTCCCATTAGAAGGTTTCCTCTTCGCATTAATGTTTATGATAATTAAAAAGGTGCAACAGTTAAGTGCAACTTTTTATGAAGTGTGAAACTTTTTATTTAAGCTGCTTTTTTTAATTTAACTGTTTTTTTTTGTACTTTCCAGGTCTGGTGTATGACGCTTTGATGCAGAAACACCAGTGTATTTGCGGCAATGCCACTATTCATCCAGAACACGCCGGTCGTATTCAGAGTATCTGGTCCAGATTGCAGGAAACGGGCCTCAGATCTCAGTGTGAGGTAAGACTCGACCGGAGAGTGACCATCTCATGACTCCAAGAATAATTTATGACTCGTCCGCAAAACAGAAGACGATTAAAACAGTCTATTACAGACATTGCTGTGTAAATGATTAATAATATTTGTTTTTGAATTTTTGTATCTGATGCAAAATGGCAGCTTTTGATTTAAAGGAAACAAATTATGCTGATAATACATAAATATTTAACTAAAAAAGTAGTTTACGATCAAACATTTAATTTTCTTAGGATGTCCTGATGCATGCTCAATAATCCAGGGAGATAAATCTGACAAGTCAGGTCCTCTGTGCAGATTATTCTTTGTTGAAACATTTCGTTTTTTATCCTAAAGACTTCATCAGTCTGAGGAGCTGCAACAAGCTCAGTCTTATAAGCAGCACCTCCTCATGGTGGATCTACCAGTTTGCAGGTGACAGACAAAACTAGTTCATATGCAAAACAAGAACCATCACCCTAACAAAAGATCGTTAGTGCCGTGATGGCCGCTTGATTGATAATTGCAATAACACCGATGTAAGAGGGGGACACCGAGACCTCTGGTCCTGTTTAACAATGGACGTGTTTTTATTTTGTCATCCAAAAGTCCCTAAATATACATAAAGGCTGGAAATATTTCACATTAAGTTGCTGATGTGAGTATTCACCACAAGAGGGTGATGTTTATCCAATTATCTGTTAATAATTAAAGTAAAATGAGGAGTTTTAAAGCAGTTTTATTATTAGTACCTGACACTATTTGAATCACGTGCAGGCTCGTTTCTCTCTAATATTAGGAATCCTGATGTTTAATGAGTGAAATTTATTATGCTACAACTCTCTCTTCCACCTAAAATCAAACAAGTTCTGTGTTTAATGTTTGTTTTTCCTTTTCTCAGTGCATCCGAGGTCGGAAGGCATCGCAGGAGGAGCTACAAACGGTCCACTCTGAGGCCCACGTCTTGCTGTATGGAACCAACCCACTGCGACAGAAACTTGAAAGTAAGACGTCACTTTCTCTTGCGTTTTCAAAAATACACCTGTTGCAGACATGTTCCGCACCTCCACCTAAAGTACTGACTTCCTGCCATTTGATTCTGATCATCTTTAAACATTTTATCACTGAAAATCAGAAATGTTGAGGTTAAAGTTGCACAGAGCTGTAAACAAATATAACAGTAATGTGATAAAGGTAGGAATATTCAACTCCCACATTGTGTGAATGCAGTTAATCTGCAGCAGTTTGGTAAATAAGGCATCTTCATGCCTAAACCACTGCAGCTGATCAAATTTAGCCAACACAAAGAGCTATATTTCGGCCAGTTTTACAGATATCGAGCTACAGTTTGGTGTGGTAGTAGCTGAGAGTCATCTTCATCACATAATTTGAGTTAACAGAAAAATCCTTGTTTCAAATAAATCTTCGTAGGCATCGGGCGAGCAAGGAGTGCTACTTTCATTTCAAGGTAATCAAGGTTTTACAGCCCCCTCCAACTGTAGAAGTACTGCAAAGTCAAATACATTTTATTTGCACTAAAAACATCAGAGTTTTGACTTTTCAGCTTTTATTTCTAGGCCTTTGCTTCAGAAAATGTCAAGGTTTTCTTTATTGTCATTCGCATCGCATGTGGTACATGTGGTGGAACAAAATTGTGTACACAGGGTCCCAGTTACATCCAACAAAAGTATAAATTGTAAAAGCAAAACAGTAATAATATCTAAGAAAAACGCTAAACGCTAGTAGGACAAAAACAATACGCCGAACAGCAGCACGAACATGAGTCCGTGTGAGCAGATGAGTACGAATGAACACAGCAGCATGAAATAAATCAGCAGCATGAGATCAGCAGCATGGATAGTCAGCAGCACATATCATCAATCAAGTGGCATTACAGTGATTTTTTTCTGTATGTATCATCATAATCAAAAATTATATTTATATACAAAAGGGAAATGTCAATTAAAAATAAAGTCCAGTTGTCTTCAATTCAGATGGCTAGCTTGAGGTAGCTGCGTTAATCTTACGATCAACTGTGACGTTACCAAAGATTTACAGTTTGCAGGTTTTTGTGTCGTCTTGTTCACTTGTTGCTCATTTTGGAGGGATTTTAGTTTTTTACTTTTGTCTTTATCATTTGAAGCGTTTGTAAGTTTACACACAACAACAATGGGTTGTTTCACAAATGGTGCCACCGTTTATACATATAATATTATTATATGTATAATATAATATTATACATACATTTTAGATTGAGAATTAAGAATCCTGAAGGCTTGATGAACTGAATAAAAACACATCGATTAGTTTGGATTTTTGTAAAAGCAGCTCAAAGACGAAGACCTGAGAACCTTCATGGGCCAATGTGAATATTTCTGCTGTCGTAAAGGATAAAGTTTGTGTCGGTGAAGGAAGTTGTGTTTTTACAAAACGTTTGAAAGGAGTTCGAACAAATTAGCCGACTAATCTTTGTTTACTGATGTCAGGGACAGAACAGAACCCTCTCCCATCGTCTCCCTGAGGCACAGCTTGATTGTGAGGTCAATGGATCCTTTTTTTCTCCACCTTCCTAATTTAAAGCATCTCCCCCGTGTACTCTTGCAGTTAGATAAGGTCAGAAAGTCAAATGCTGGGTTTTTAGGGGTCATTTGGACCCTTGGGTCCACAAAGTTACCTCTTCACCTTTTCCTTTTACCCTTGACTGTTGCTCTGATTTGTCGTCTCCTCTCCTTCCTCAGGTTCTGTAAACCCCATGTTTGTGAGGTTACCCTGCGGAGGCATCGGGGTGAGTGACTTGTTTTCAGTTTGGAACGCTGTGCTCGAGTCATTTGAGAAATATTCTCCATTTAATTAAAGCGAGGCTTCTCAAACGATTTAGCTTCTGACTCCAAAAATCTTTATCTGAACGTCAAGAAAGTTGTGAAAAAGGTAAAAAGACAAAACAAAAAACATTGTCATCGAATATGCAGAGAATCTTGACGACTGATGGACTTTGCTGATATTTGCCAAATAAGCCATAAGTTGCTAAAGCTAAAAAAGCAGATAACTAGCTAAAAAACAAAGTATCAAACCGTTAACTAAAAGCTAGAAGTGTGAAAATGCTAGTTCAGCTAAGCAAGAGGCTAGTTTAGGCTAAAAGTAGCAAAAAGGTAGTCAAAATTAGAAAAACAAAAGTGTAAAGTTGTACAACTGTAGCCAAAATAGCAAAAGGCTTGGTAAAAGTATCCAAATAGTAGCTCAAAGCTTATAGTAGCATAAGATAAAAAAGAGCTACCATGTTGAACCAGAACAACATGGATGGATGGATGGATGGATGGATGGATGGATGTACAGTTGATGGACAGATGGATGGACGGTTGTATAGTTGATTGACCGATGAATGGATGATGGATGGATGGACAGTTGGTTAGTTGTACAGTTGATGGACAGATGGATGGATGGTTGGTTGATGGACAGATGATGGATGGATGGTTGGTTGGTTGTACAGTTGATGGACAGATGGATGGATGGATGGATGGATGGATGGATGGATGGACAGACGGTTGTTTGGTTGTATGGATGGATGGTTGGTTGTACTGTTGGTGTACCGATGGATGGATGATGGACAGATGGATGGATGGATGTTTGGTTGCTTGGTTGGTTGTACAGTTGGTGGACAGATGGATGGATGGATGGACAGACGGTTGTTTGGTTGTATGGATGGATGGTTGGTTGTACTGTTAGTGTACCGATGGATGGATGATGGACAGATGGATGGATGGATGGATGGATGTACAGTTGATGGATGGACGTATGATGGATGGATGGTTATATAGTTGATTGGCCGATGAATGGATGATGGATGGATGGACAGTTGGTTGGTTGTACAGTTGATGGACAGATGGATGGATGTTTGGATGTTTGGTTGCTTGGTTGGTTGTACAGTTGGTGGACAGATGGATGGACAGACGGTTGTTTGGTTGTATGGATGGATGGTTGGTTGTACTGTTGGTGTACCGATGGATGGATGGATGGATGGACAGATGAACGGTTGCTTGGTTGTACAGTCGATGGACAGATGGATGGATGGATGGTTGTTTGGTTGTATGGATGGATGGTTGGTTGTGCTGTTGGTGTACCGATGGATGGATGATGGACAGATGGATGGTTGGATGGGTGCATGGATGCATGGATGGCTGGATGTTTTAAAAAGAATGAAATGTTAAAAAGCCAGAGCAGTCTTCTCCTGAATGAGCTGTTTTTCGTCACACAGTTTAATATTTCAGTAGAAAACTTTGTTGTTTTGTTTATTTTTTGCAGCGATGTGCTCGTCGAATCGATATTCATCGGGTGCATCTCGGCGTGACTCAGTTTCAGAATCATCAAATACAGTCGCCCACTCCCTCTTTCTGCTCACGGCTTCAGAAAACCTCCCATTTGTTCTTGTTCCACCAAACAAACACACACATGCATGCAAATACCGCCCCTCAAGGACCAGAGGCAACAAAAGCTGTTGCTTGCCTTTCCGCTGTGTTTAAAATGATATCCAGATGTTTGAAACTTTGTGTGTGTGCACGCGCGTGCGTGTGGGTGTGTGTGTGTGTGTAGTGGAAGGCATTATTGGATGCTTGTGTGATTGGACATTTCTTTGACATGCAAGTTACTTTAAAGACTGACATAAAGACTCGTTGCAAAGCACGAAGCTGCTCATGGTAGTTCTTCAGATATATGATGATGTATAGTTCTGAAATGTGGGTATGCACTCAATGTAAACAAAACACGCGGCTGAATCCGCCGAAAACCCTGCGGTAGATTAAGTCGTGTAATTGTCCTGCGTTAGGATGGTTGTAGTTCGTGTACAAAAACAAATATGGCGGAATCAGACAAGCGCAAAGTCTTGGAGAAGACGTCAAAAAATAAAATCTGGGACAAAGGAGATGGATGGACGGAGCTCTGCTTTTAAACATGTGCAGCTTTGACAAGACCGGAGAGTTCACCGTTTGTGCTGTTTTCAAGCACTTCGGCTGTTTCTGTAGGTAAACCAATGCTAATCATAAATATTGCTAACAAGTTAGTTTTTTATTGTGTCAATGTTTATGAAGCATTCACACTATTGTGATGTTTTTTTCTTCTGTATGTTTTTCGGCGTCTCTCATGTCGCAGTTTTCAGCTATTTCAACAAATCGTTTATCAAAACGTTCAGCTCTTTCAGGACAATCCTGCTATGGCTTTTGGTATTGGTGCAACTTTAGCTTTTTGAAATATTTGGTCTTTTCTGCCACCTTTTTTTTCCTCAAAGAAAATGAATTGAGGTCATTTTACATCCTTCGAAACTTTAGATCTGTTTACAACCTTTTACTGCTCCTTTCATATTTTGTTCTGCTTCAGCTTCTTTCAGCTTCCTTGTGCAAATTGGAAAAAAAAAAAACAGCTACTTTCAGCTGTTTTTCAACATTTTTGTGCTCTTTTCAGATTCTTTCTGCTAACTACAACATTTTTGTGCTTCTTCTAACTTCTTTCTGGTAATTTCAGCTTGTTATGCTCCTTTCAGCTTATTTCTGCAAGTTTAAGATTTTTTATGTTATTTCAGCTACTATTAGCAATTTTTATGCAAATTTTAGCCTTTTCAGCCTTTCCTTTTTTTGCACTAAGTTAAACTTTTTTCAGCCTAATTCAGCAAAAATTGTGCTCTTTTCACTTCCTTCTGATAATTTAAGCTTTCTGCTTTTTTGGCTACGGTACTTTTCAGCTGTTTTTTTGCTAATTTCAGTTTTTTCAGACAATTTCCACTTTTTGTGCTCATTTCTGCTTCTTTCAGCCTAATTGGACAAGCACGTGTTCTTTCTGCTTTCTTATGCTAATTTAAGCTTGTTCAACCTGTTCTGCTAGCCTTTATAGCATTTTCTAGCTAATTTTGGCTGTTACTTTCAGCCTAATTAACTACTTTCTGATAATTTAAGCTTGTTATGCTCCTTTCGGCTTATTTCTGCCAGTTTCAGTAATTTCAGCTAATATTTAGCTGTTTTATGCCAATTTCACATTTTTAGCTAATTTTAGCTATTTCTGATTCCTTCTGGTAGTTTAAGCGTCTTTCTGCCTTTCAGCTACTTTTCAGCCATTTTTGCTAATTTCAGCTGTTTTTACCTAATTTCTTAATTTTTGTGCTCTTTTCCGTTTATTTAAACCTAATAGGCTCTGTGCACATGCGTCCTGAATCACTTCCGCTTTGACCGGATGTCGGCATTCCAGTTTCCGGTTTAATTCCTGTATCCTGTCATCCCAGAGATAAACAACTAAAATGAGTGTTGCTGCGTCAAATAAACAAAAATATAACGTGCGTGGCAGCTTTAGATTTCAGCCGACGGTGTTTGGGTCTAAGGAGCACTGTTGTGTGCCGCTTTGCTCGTCTTCAGGTCGCTATAATAGCCGTTTGAGCTTTCACCGTTTCCCTAAGGAGACAAGCCTTCGTTTGTGCTGGCTGCAAAAAATCAGAAGAGAGGGATTTACGGTAACTCCTCACACCAAGGTATGTAGCCGACATTTCCTGGAGAATGAAGTAATTACTACAGAAAAGGGAAGACGAATTTTAGCAGCTGGGTCGGTTCCATCATTATTTGAGTGGAACAAATACAGCAGGAAGACACGAGCAGGTGTTTGGGAGCGCCGTTGTCGACCATCTAATCCAGAACCTGATTCGGCGGATCCAATTGAGGACAATGAACCACCCGTCATGGTACCTATGGTCGTGGACCATGACTACGGCGCCAGCAGAACCGTGTGTGTTGACCGGGAGCAATATCACAGCATGCTGAGAGAAATTGAGCAACTGAAAGAGCAGCTCCGATCCTGTAGTCTTCAAAAGCCGTTTGGACTGGAACGTTTTTCTACGTCACCAGAAGACATCAGATTTTACACCAGGTCAGAGTTGTAAAATCTAAATATTACGTTATGCCTCTGAAAAAAATTAATACGCTTTGAGTCATTGTATATTTTGTCACATTACAACCAAAAACAATTTCATTGTAATGTTCTTTGAGAGACCAACACAAGTACACACTTACTAGTGGAAATGAAATTATACATAATGTAACACATTATTATTATTATTATTATTATTATTATTATTATTATTGTTATTATTATTAGTAGTAGTAGTAGTACTAGTACTAGTAGTACTGTATTTACAAATGATACTGAAAAGTGTGGTGTGTACGAGTAATCGGCTCCCTTTTCTGTAACCAATATTCCTTCAGAAATAGCTTTAATGATTACAAATGGCTATGGAGTCCACCCGTGTGTAAACTAATGTCAAATACAAATACAGCAGCTAGTGACAGCCTCAGGTCGGTGAAAATAGTTGGTTTCTGTGATTAGATGACACACAGGCTGACTATTATGCCATTAGCAATCATCAGGAAACTTATGAAGACTAGAAGTTACTCTCTGATTTAAGGGGGCTGAACATTTGTGCTCAAAATAGTTTTCAATTTATAAAAAAATTACAAACCTTCAAATCATGTATAATTTTCTTTCCACTTTACAACATAAAATTTCAAAGAAAGATATTTATGTTCTTAGTTGTACCGTGTCAAAATTTGAAAACTGTTTTCACAGTTATAAATGTGGAGAGTGACAGTTTATATATATATATATATATATATATATATATATATATTTTTTTTATGTGTTTTAGGTTCCCCTCATATGAGCATCTGAAGGCGTTTTGGAACTTGATCGAGGCAGCAACAGCCAAAATGGTCAGGGTCACCAGAGCAAAGAAAACCGACGTCATGAGTACAACAACTG